CCTGCTGCCGGCTGCTTGTGGGGTGCAGCCTGGTCTGCGGTGCCAGGACAGGCGGGAACCTGCCTTAGACCCCCTGCTGCACCGCTGACTGGGGACTGCTCAAGGCAAGCCCCTCCTGCGCCTGCCCTGACAGCCCCCAAAGCCAGAGCCCCCTCCTGTGCCCCAAAGTTCCCCTCCTCAGCTCCACTCAGGAGCCCACCTCTAGTCAAATGATGGTGGGTCATGGGCACCAATGATTTTCTTCAACTGCATCATGAGAACGAAAGTTTGAAAACCACAGGGCTAGAGCCTACCTCCCTAGGCCAGACCCTCAGGCCCATCTGAGCTGCGCGTGGACTGAGTATGTGAGGCACATGGGTGGTTTTATGCCAGCTCTTCAGCTCCCTGATCCAGGAGCCAGCTTGTGGCCCAATTTAGAGATGTCTGGGGGTTGCTCTAAATTACACCCAGAGGTCATTCTGGCAGCCACAGGAATATCAGCCATGGCCTCCTTTTCCTGGCCATGTTGAGGACAGAGTAGGGCAGCAATATAGAATTGTGACATCCATCTTGTATAACTCAGGGATTTCTCTTATGCAAGGAGACTCCCCAGCCAGCCAGTGGAGTTGGCTTCTTGGCCACTTTGCTGTGTTGTAGGAGAGCATCTGACCCATAAAGCAAGTCTTTCATAGATCAGCTCCCAGGGGAAAAAAATCCCTCTTACCATAGGTCCTTTGAGATGGATAAAATAGTGCCCCTGTTTGTCTCTGCGTGATGTCTGCAGAAAGTCTGGACTTGTTCTTTTCTGTTAGTGTTTTACATTAGACCGTGTCAGGACCATCATGTCTTGTCTTCCCTTGTTCTGCCAAAGGGCAACTTGAAGCACCAGAGACGTGGAGCGGGAGGTTTCTCAGCCCTTAACTCAATGGGCGATGGTAGTTAATCTTTAACACAAAATGCTTTTCTCCACCGTGTGTGCAAAGCGTTTGAGTCAGAGAAATGTTGCCCAAAAAGCGTTTCAGGACATTTGACTACAAATTTGCCTGTTTAATTCATCCACTTTTATTTCTTTGCCATCTCTGGTAAAGGTATTTTGGAGCCTAACTCCTACTGAAATCAGTGGAGATTAGAATCCTAATTCTTCTGCAATATGGGTTTGGAGCCACAGTTTGGTCTCCAGTTGTCCATAGAATCTTGCAGGAAAAGCAAAAAGAGGTGAGATCTGAATTTCTAAAGTAAAAGGTAAATGGAGGAAGGGGAGACTCCCAGAGCTATGTCATTAAGCAGCAAGGCAGGGCCGGGCCCCTATTTTGTGAGGGTTGAAAGTGATGTGTGACCCAGAAGCCCCAGGGTCTTGAAAGACTAGCTCTAGTCCCTGGATGGCAGCTTCAGCAACACAAAGCTTCTGAGGGGTCTGTTTTGGGACCGGTTCTGTTCAATATCTTCATCAATGATTTAGATATTGGCATAGAGAATACGCTTATTAAGTTTGCTGATGATACCAAGCTTGGAGGGGTTGCAACTGCTTTGGAGGATAGGACCATAATTCAAAATGATCTGAATAAATTGGAGAAATGGTCTGAGGTAAACAGGATGAAAAGTTAAATAAGGACAAATGCAAAGTGCTCCACTTAAGAAGGAACAATCAGTTTCACACATAGAGAATGGGAAGCGACTGTCTAGGAAGGAGTACGGCAGAAAGGGATCTAGGGGTTATAGTGGACCACAAGCTAAATATGAGTCAACAGTGTGTCACTGTTGCAAAAAAAGCAAACATGACTCTAGGAAACATTAACAAGAGTGCTGTGAGCAAGACACGAGAAGTCATTCTTCCGCTCTACTCTGTGCTGATTCGGCTTCAGTTGAAGTATTGTGTCCAGTTCTGGGCATCGCATTTCAAGAAAGATGTGGAGAAATTGGAGAAGGTTCAGAGAAGAGCAACAAGAATAATTAAAGGTCTAGAGAACATCACCTATGAAGAAAGACTGAAAGAATCGGTCTTGTTTAGTTTGGAAAAGAGAAGATTGAGGGGGGACATGATAGCTGTTTTCAGGTATCTAAAAGGGTGTCACAAGGAGGAGGGAGAAAACTTGTTCTTCCTGGCCTCTGAGGATCGAACAAGAAGCAATGGGCTTAAACTGCAGCAAGGGAGGTTTAGGTTGGACATTAGGAAAAAGTTCCTAACTGTCAGGGTGGTTAAACACTGGAATAAATTGCCAAGGGAGGTTGTGGAGTCCCTGGAGATATTTAAGAGCAGATTAGATAAATGTCTATCAGGCATGGTCTAGACAGTACCTTGTCCTGCCGTGAGGGCAGGGGACTGGACTCAATGACCTCTTGAGGTCCCTTCCAGCCCTAGTATCTATGAGATCCCCGGGTGAAGGGGCACTGAGCTGTTACGTTTGTGTTCCCAGGTGCATTACCAGGTCTTTCTATCGGAACGCGGTGGGCGTGCTGCTGGTGTTTGACATGACCAATCGGAAGTCCTTCGAGCACATCATTGAGTGGTACCACGAAGTGGCCAGCATCCAAATTATGGAGAAGGTCGTCTTCCTCCTGATTGGCCACAAAAGTGACTTGAAGTCAGACTGCAAAGTCTCCGCCGAGGAAGCGGAAGGGCTGGCAGCCTCCCTGGGCATAGGCTTCATTGAAACATCTGCCAAAAGCAATAGCAATGTGGACTTGGCCTTCGAGACCTTGACCAACACCATCTACGAGGCGCTGAAGAACAAGGAGATCGACTTGCAGGAAGGCTGGGAGGGGGTGAAGGTGATTCACAAGAGAACCTGCAACCCCCAGAAGAAGAGGCGAAAACCACAAGAAAAATGCCAATGTTAACCCAGCATCTAGGCGCGAGGACCTGGCAGGAGAGGGTGGGGGGATGAAAGTGGTGGGGGAGGGGCTGATTGAGAAATAAACTAGAGAAGGGGTCTCTAGGAAGAATAAAGGAAGGCTGGGAGGGGGTGAAGGTGATTCACAAGAGAACCTGCAACCCCCAGAAGAAGAGGCGAAAACCACAAGAAAAATGCCAATGTTAACCCAGCATCTAGGCGCGAGGACCTGGCAGGAGAGGGTGGGGGGATGAAAGTGGTGGGGGAGGGGCTGATTGAGAAATAAACTAGAGAAGGGGTCTCTAGGAAGAATAACTCCCCCCCCCCCTATAGGTGGAGAACAGGAATCGAGTGAGGCAGCACAGACTAGTTGCCAGAGGCTTTCCCTTGGTTTGGAGCGGGGAAGGCCCCTTTAATACACTACAGGATTGGCTCTGATGCTTTTTAATTAACTTTTTTAAAAATGAATTTTAGGACTAAGAAGATTGTTAGGAATGTGCAGCTTTTCAAACATCCGTGTACTTGCACAGGTGAGCTGCCAGCCTTGCTGGGCCGCCTGGGCATGATGGGTGGAGGCTCCATGCTCCCAGAAGAGATGGAGCCTTGGGCAGAAAGGGGGCAACTGGCCCTTGCTGCCTGGACCACACTGGCCTCCTCCAGAGCATACCACATAGGGCTCCAGGGCTGATTTAAAGGGGAACCTGCCCCTCTACCTTACTGCTGGTAGGCCCTTTATCCCACCTGCCCCAGTGCTGCCTGTCCTGACCCGAGGCAACCTGGGTCTTGAACCAGCAACCCTGTTTTCCCCAGGTGGGAGCCCCTAGCCACTAGGCCACACAGGAACCCACCCCTCTACCTTACTGCGGGTAGGCCCTTTATCCCGCCTGCCCCAGCGCTGCCCGACCAGAGCTGACCTGACCCCGGGGGACCCAGGACTCTGTGCTCCCCAGGCACCTTTTTGAAGTGCCAAGTCCTGGAGCTTTTTCCCCCTTTGCAGCCCTCCCCCGGTAGGCAGGCATGTGCCTGCATCAAATACACCAAACAGCTGAGTGATTCAGTGGGGCCTTGATCCTGACCAGCGTCCCCAGAGTGGTCCAGCATTACATGGGATTCAGTCCAAAACTCCCTGTTTTACTGAAACATCTCAGAGAGCCCAGCTTCCCAAGGAAACCATCATGGCCAGATTTTGGGCCTCAGGAGCGTGGTGACTGGAAGAATTCTCAGGACACGATGAAGCAGATTAGATGTTCACAGAGGGTGGAACTCAGATGTAGAGATCAGTGCAGAGGGGTGAAATTCATCCCTTTGCAAAGGGCCAGCATTGTGCTTATGCACTACTTTAATTGTGAAATGAATTGCTCATTCTCTAGTGTAACCCAACAAAACTATTTGCTCTGGACTGAGGAGGCGTTAAAAGTACGTTATTAGTATTCCGCCAAGATGGGGGCCCCATTGTACTAGGTGCTATTCAACATAGAGCAAGAGACAGTCCCTGCCCAAAGGGGCTTGCAATTAAAATACATAAAGGGGTGGGGAAGGGAAACGAGGCACAGAGCAGGGAAATGACTGGCCCAAGCTCATGAGGCAGACCTAGGAACAGAACCTATGTCTCCTGACTGTCCCATCTGGCAGCCACACATGCTGGGCCATCATGTGCCTAACTAGCCTGCTGGTTAGATTGCATTTGAATACTTTAAAACTGCTGCAGTAAACTCCCAGAGATAGATTGCCTCTCCCTTCCCCCGTACAACGTTATAGATTTCAGTGGCACAGACTGGATCTAACGAGAGACATTATGGTACCGTACTGCATCTAGTTAGAAAAATCTCAGCTCTGTTCCACCGTACCCCAGCATACTGCATCTCTTGACTCAAGCTAGCATTAACCTCTCTAGTGAAACCTGACCCATGGGAAAACCCCTCCTGCTGACCAGGTAAAGCCAAGAGTTAACCTCAGTGTATTTTACTGGTGCCTGTTACTCTTGTTCGTGGGTACGAAGCTGTGCTACATGTGGACTAGTGCAATCGCTGCTACTTACATCTCCAGCTTGTATGGATTTGTCATTAAAAACAAGTCATGGTTTCTTTGTATAATGTGGTGCTTCCTTCAAGACTGGGGGATAGGGAGGGAGAAACGGTGCCAGGTTATACAGCAAAAGGCCTCTGCACTTCTGTGGTTCCATTTTATCAGAGTACAAAGCAGTCTATACAGTTTTTAATTTCCCTCCTGGGAAGAGTGGAAATATTATGTTCATTTTATGGATGGGTAAACTGAGGCACAATAAAGGCAAGTGACTTGATCAGAAGAATGGCAAGGCCAGAAGTCCTGATGTCTAGGCCCTCTTCCCTACTCAATATTTTGCCCTTTCTCTCCTTTGAAATAATTTTAAATTTTGCATTTCAATTATCATGTTAGGGGATGAGCTAATATGTTGGCTTTAGTCTAGCCGTCACATTTCTTAGAAAGCCCCTGCTGCAGTATCTGGTCCCGTTGGTGATTAATTTCTGCAATAATCACGTTTCTTTTTGCTTGGGTTAATGCGGCACTGGAGACAGGGAGATAATTATGTGAGACTCTGTTAATGCAGGGAAGTTCTATGGCTGTCCAATGTATTTGAGTTTAAGTCTTTGTGGGCTGGAGCCTACTTGGTCAGGAAAGCTTATGCCCAAATAAAGGGGTTAGTCTTCGAGATGCCACTGGACTCCTTGTTGCTTTTGCTGAAACAGACTAACTGGGTTACTCCTCTGAAACTTGCCTCTGAGGTCTGTGTTATGCAGGGGATCACAGATAATCATAGTGGCCTCTGATAACCTTAAACTGTGAAAAGCTGGACAAAAACTGGACAGGATCTCCCTAATCTATTTTCTTCCGGTTCTTACACTGCTCTCATCACTTGCCTCGCAGGGTCCCTTTCCCACCAAGGGCGAGCAGAGAGCAAGTATCAGGCCCCCGTGTAAGATAAAGCCCCAAATCTTGGGACTGGTGTATTTGGTCACTCTGTTCCCAACCCCTCCGGCATGGAATTTCCATGGAGCCACAAGGGGAAAGTGTTGCAGCAGGAAGCGTTGTAATGGGGGAGTTTAAGCAACAGCCCCGTGGGGTTATGTCTGCTTGGCACCTCTGAGGCAGTAAGGACAGTGCCTGAGCCGCTGCTTTCAAATCTGTGGGGTGAACTTGGGCTCAGATTGGAGAGAAGCTGGAGCTGATTCAACTACAAGTATTTTGCAGGCCCAATCAGCCGCCCGGGCACGAGGCACGGCGTGTGTTAATGCATACGACCTGTGGCATTCGGGTGCATAGGCGTGAACACAACACAACACATACCATGGTGTGTCTTACAAGTCTCGGGGGGTGCGGGCTGTGTTAATATGTCACTGAAAAAACTGAAAAAAGCAATGGAGAGTCCTGCAGGCCTTAGAGACTAACAAAACAGCTAGATGGTATCATGAGCTTGCATGGGCACAACCCACTTCTTCATTGGAATGGCGCAAGGAGTCCAGAGTTACAAATAAGTAGCAGAAAAAGAGGGAAGATGGGGAGGAAAAGAGGGGAAAAATCTTGTCAGTGAGAGTGTCTGTGCTAAATAAGGCTAATAGAGTGGGCTGTGAGTGCCCAATACTTAGTGTTGATGACATTTGGGTGTCTTGAACTGGATGGGCCATTCTATTCAACACCCAAATGACATCAACACTAAGTTTCGGGCACTTACAGCCCACCCTATTAGCCTGATATAGCACAGGCACTCTAATTGACAAGATTTTTTTCTCCGTTTTTTTTCTGCTATTTATTTGTACCTCGGACCCCTTGCTCCATCCCTCTGAAGAAGTGGGCTGTGCCCACGAAAGCTCATCATACCATCTACATTTTTCGTTAGTCTCTAAGGTGCTGCAGGACTATTTGCTGTTTTTTAAGTTGGTGTCTTGTTGCATAAACATTCTCCCAAGGGAAACCAGTGGTACTGACAACAGGTCTCTGCTTACCCCCAGGTGCTTGGCTCATGCCCACAGTGGCTGCAGCAGGACAGTTATCAAGGGAATGAGAAACTCTTTTAAATATTCTCTATACCAGCATGCTAAAATGTAGCCTGTCTCTAGTGCTTTGCAGCCAAAGAGCTCAACTCTGGACTGACTGAGGGCTTGTTCACAATCTGTAATAAAGTAGGGTGTGGATTTAAAATAGATTTAACTATTCCTGATTAAACCTGTGAGCGTGAATGCTCCTTCTGGAATAAGAGTGTCTACACACAAGGATGTGTGTAGATTTCTGGAGGTCCAGGACATAATCTGAATTGGAGGTTCCCCCTCTTCTCCTGAGTGCCAGGGTGATGGTTAGATGGGGAGTCCAACAGCACCTCTCCCATAGGGCCAGGCCCAGCTCCCTGTGCTGAGTGTCATGATACAGCTTGGCTTGTTTGGCCTGGCCACCACTTGATCGTGCCGGAGGTTGGGGCCATGGCTGGGCCCAATTGGAGGGAGTGGGGTGGGCCGTGGGGCACAGGAGCACAGTGAAACTGAACACCTGCTGCTGGGCCGTGGCTGAGGCCCCGGGCACCATGTTACAAATCTGCTCTCCCGGATGAGAAATCCGGGACAAGCTGCCCCGTTTGCCCCCTCTTGTCCACACATGGCATTTGTCATTCGGGGGGGGAGTGTTCTGGGAGAGCTCCCCAGTGAGGCCAGTACTCTTGTTGTACATGGGTGGGGAACCCGCGGCCCAGAGACAGAGAGTGGCAGGTCCTAGAGCAGAACCCAGAGTCACCTGGCGCCCAGGCCTCCCTCGCAGCAAGGCCCCCCAGGTAATCTAATCTCACTCCAACCGGCTTCCTCTTCCCCGCGCTTTGCATCTGTTTTGCTCCTTCCTCTCCTCTGACACTGGGCCCAGTGTCTCTGAACCAGGCGGGGGAGAGACAGGCCTGACGGCGAGTGTCGGAGCAGCATGTGCTCTCTGCCTTCCCTGTCTATAAACACCCTCTGCTCAGCGGGAGGGGTGGCAGCTGCCTGCCTGGACATGAGCTAGTGCAGCTCCCAGCCTTCCGGCACCAGCTCAAGCAATCTCGCTCCACTTCCAGCAAGTCCCAACCAGCCGCGCCGCAGGATTTCGCTCCCCTCTCTCCAGGCTCCGTGCGGCTTCCAGGCAGCGCTGACCGGCTGTGCTACTCCCCATGGATTCGCTCTGGCACTACCAGTTCCGCATCATCATGCTGGGGGACTCCACGGTGGGGAAGTCGTCCCTGCTGAAGCGCTACACCGAGGGCGCCTTCCTCGACTCCATCAACCAGACCGTGGGGGTGGATTTCTACGTCCAGTTTGTGGAGCTTGAGCCCGGGCTCCGGATCAAGCTGCAATTCTGGGACACGGCTGGGCAGGAGCGATTCAGGTGGGTTTGCCGGGAGCAGAGGTGAAGGGATTGGGGGGAGGGCAGCAGGGGGCTTTTTGAAGAGCGGGCAGGGGCCCAGTGTGCAATAGGGCAGGGCCTGGAAGAAGTTGAAGTTCCTTTCACTCCTGCCGGGGAGGGTTAGAGAGGCGTGGGCAGGACAGAGCCAGAGCCAGCAAAGGGAGCGTTAAAGCTGCAATGGGGATTAATACAGATGCAGGAAATGCCGAGCTACCGCGCAGGCTGATATTTTCTTGAGTGAATCATGCTGGGGAACAGGCCCGAAGACCAAAGGCCTCAGAGTAGAAAAAGCACGGGCCACGGCTCGGTTAACTTCGCCCCTGCTGCCCTCTGCCGATGCGCCTCTTGCATCCTAGCCCAACATGGAGGGACCCTAGAGAATCTCTCAGACTCTCTGGGGCAGGTGGGCTGAGTAGGGGCCCACAGCATGGCTGGCTGGAGCGACTCCGCCTGACAGGGCCCCAGCCTGGAAGAGAAGACTCGTTGTGTATCGACGGTTCTCAGAACTAGTCTTGTGATACACAGGACATGCTGGAGCCCTGCGCCCTCCCACGCCGCACCTCTGCTCTGGGCAACGGAGCCGTGTTGGCTGGGCAACGTGGCGAGTCTCCCCGACTGTGCCCTAGCAGGGCAGGACACATGCACTGAGACCCAGGGAGGAGGAGAGCCCCTGAAGAGAGGCCTTTAAACCCCCCAGCATGCACTAAAGAGCCCTGTGATCCCTGAGTACAGCCCCGGTTAAATGAGCTGGGAGCTGGGGCCCTGTCTGGTTCCCTGCTGATGAAACCACCCTCCTGCCTGGCACCAGCTGTGTCCTTTGCGGGCTGAGTGGCCATGGGGTGCCAGGCATCTGGTTTTCTACCGGGCAGTCCGGTATTTGCACCGTCTGTCCGGTAGAAACATTCAGACAATACCGGACACGTGCAATGTCCGGTATTTTGTGAATTTCCGGCTGGGCGCCGGAGGGAAGCCTGGCGGGGGCGGGGGAGCAACATGGGACCAGCGGAGCCTCCGGTCCCATGCAAAATCCGGGCCAGGGGATGGTGGGGAAACAGAGGAAGAGGGGCGGGAAGCAGACCTGGCGGGGGAGTCCCGGCGCCCGCCCTGTCCCACCTCACCCGGCTTTTCCACGCGACCGCAGGGCTCCCAAAGCCAATCACGCTCCGGCTCCCAGTCACCCCTCCACCCCCGCCAGGCTTCTCTCCGGCGCCCAGCCAGAAATTCACAAAATACCGGACATTGCACGTGTCCGCTATTGTCTGAATGTTTCTACCGGACAGACGGTGCAAATACCGGACTGCCCGGTAGAAAACCAGATGCCTGGCACCCCATGGCCACTCAGCCCGCAAAGGACACAGCTGGTGCCAGGCAGGAGGGTGGTTTCATCAGCAGGGAACCAGACAGGGCCCCAGCTCCCAGCTCATTTAACCGGGGCTGTACTCAGGGATCACAGGGCTCTTTAGTGCATGCTGGGGGGTTTAAAGGCCTCTCTTCAGGGGCTCTCCTCCTCCCTGGGTCTCAGTGCATGTGTCCTGCCCTGCTAGGGCACAGTCGGGGAGACTCGCCACGTTGCCCAGCCAACACGGCTCCGTTGCCCAGAGCAGAGGTGCGGCGTGGGAGGGCGCAGGGCTCCAGCATGTCCTGTGTATCACAAGACTAGTTCTGAGAACCGTCGATACACAACGAGTCTTCTCTTCCAGGCTGGGGCCCTGTCAGGCGGAGTCGCTCCAGCCAGCCATGCTGTGGGCCCCTACTCAGCCCACCTGCCCCAGAGCAGGACTTGAGGGCTCCGTGCTGGGGTGCGACTCTTCCCCTCTGAATATCACTATCTGAGCCCTCCTGTGCCCCGCCAGTGGCTTTAGCGGGAGCCGGCTTCACCCTGCTCCTCAGGGAGGCGGGGAGGGATTGTTGGGCCTGAGAGGGGCATTGCGGCCCCGTGGCTGAGCCTGCCAGGCCAGGGGCCACGTGTGATACATACTAGGGCCACCAACTGTCTGCTCACACCAAGCCAAACACCCTTGCCTTGCCCTGTCCCTGCGGTCCTCCCCCCCCACTCATTCCTTCCCTCCCTCCCCCTCCCCCACACTCACTCTCTTTCACAAGTTGGGGCTGGGGTGCTGGAGGTGGCGCTGGGCTGAACTGGGGGTGCAGAAAGGGTTGTGGCGTGCAAGCTGTGTGAGGGAGTTTGGTGCTGGAGGAGGCTCAGGCCTGGGGTGGGGGGTGGCTGGGCTGTGGGAGGAGGAGAGGGATGCAGGGTTTGGCTGGATGGCGCTTATCTTGGGCAGCTGCTGACTGGCAGTACACTCATTTTAACATCCCTACTTCATACCGGTATAACTAGAGCCCTGCAAATGTGCAGATTTCTGCTTTATATCTGTGGGGACCCACTTCCGTGGATATGGATGCAGATATCCACAGCTCATTTTGGTGTGTGGACACTCTTAGTCTGGAGTAAGTCTCTACACACAACGTCATGGGTAGATTTCTGGAGGCCCAGGGAATAATCTCAATTGGAGCTCACCTTTGTGGATGCAGATACAAATTTTGTATCTAGAACCCAGCAAATTTGTGGATATGCTCTTTATATCCCCAGATATGGATATCTGCTTTATATCCCCAGATATGGATATCTGCGGCTCATTTTTGGATGCAGATAACAAATTTTGTGTCCGTGCAGCATTCTAAGTATAGCGCCACAGATCCACGGCAGTGCAGGTGAAATTCCTGGGGACTGGACTGAGGCCAGCTAGAATCATAGAATCATAGAACTGGAAGAGATCTCATCAAGTCCAGCCCCCAGCCTCTAGCTGTCCAGTCCACACTCATGACTCTTAAGTCCAGCACCCCAGGGCTCCATCTACATCAGAGATCTTGCGTTAAAGTAGTTGCACAAGAGAGTGTCTATACTGGCATGTGCTTTTGTGCAAGAGCATCCATGCCAGTGTAGACGCTCTCTTGCACAAGAAAGCTCTGATGGCCATTTTAACCATAGGACTTTCTTGCACAAGAAATTCATGTTGCCTGTCTACACTGGCCTCTTGCACAAGAACAGTTGCGCAAAAGGGCTTATTCCTGAGCGGGAGCATCAGAGTTCTGGTGCAAGAAGCCCTGATTTCATACATTAGAACGTCAGTTTACTTGCGCAAGAACACGCGGCCAGCGTAGCCAGGCAGCAAGGTTTTGCGCAAGAGCGGCTGCTTTTGCGCAAGATCGCGCCAGTGTAGACACAGCCCAGGATACTAGGTGCAGAGTGTTCTGCTTCCTGAGCAAAGAGGATAATTATTAACCATCCATCTACCCCATTGAAAGGAGCAGGCTGTGCACCACTAAAGCAGGGGTCGTGGGAGAAAAGAGGCTTCTGAAGCCTCATTTATACTGGAGATTTGGCCAGTTTGTAACCAGTTAGTGACACAGACAGGTTTCCAGGACTTTCCCACGGGTGTGATTATTAGCACAAATGGGGCTCAGCTGTTTAATACCACTGTGCTGGAGCACACACAGACAACACAAGAGTAATGCCTGTGCTGTTGCCACTGCAGGTGGGGCCGCACCGGTAGTGAGGTAGCAGCAGCAGAGTTTCTAAAAGAGCTGCTCTCGTCAGAACCCAGACTGGCTGTAAACATGCTCTGTTCACACCCAGCATGGCTAATTCTCTGCCACCAGCAGCGTGAGCTAGCACAGCGAGTGCGGGAGAGTGGTTTGGAATAGAGACCCGACACTAATCACATCTGCATAACCAGCTCAGCCAGCTCTCTCAAGGCAGCAGAGTATTCCAGCATCCACTTCTCTATTTGATACTTGTGGGTATATCCTCCTGGTGCTCTACCCTCTGCCAGGGTCCTATGGCATAGCTGCCTGGATTTTCCTAATGTGTACTGATATGTAGGCAGCATGGCAGGAGCATAAACCAGGCTAAATGAGGGGAAAGAAAAGACGCACTGTGGCCACAAGTCAAGCAACTGGCACAGATGAGTCCTAGCTGTGTCACGAATCCAATACAACTTGTACAACAGACAGCTGTTCTAGTGCGGCATTCGGGCTAGCTACAAAACATTTCCATCAAAACCATTTTGATGAAACAATTTGAGTTCTCCATAGGATGCAGCATTTTGTTTTGTGGGGTTTGTTTTGTTTGGACACGAGAAAGAGCTGCTTTCCTCACTATAGTAAAAAAAAAAAAAAAAGTCTCAAACCCAAAATATTTGCATTCAAAATGGCACCAAACCATCTCACAGGCAGTGTAGCTCAGGGGCTTTGTATGTCCTGGCTCATTTCTAGACAGACTACATCTCCCATGATGCACCATGACAAGGGATTCCTATGGGATAAATCACTGACCACCAACAAAGGAGAAAATGGTGCAGCATGGGAAATGTAGTCATCCAGGACAGTAGGAAGCAGAGCACCTGAAGTACAACTCCCATGAGGCAGTATACTGCCATTCTGCATTAAAGCTTTGGTTTTCAATATTCCACCAAAAAGCAGACATTTTCTGCAGCCAAACCACCCCCCAAAACAGTTCCACCAGGCACCCTGCACTGCCTCTGTACCCTAGGACATGAGAACAGCACAACATGAGACTGCATTCTCTATTGCTATATATTCCCAAGGAGATCTTTATAGTACAGAAGCAAAATACAGGACTATGTAGCACTTTAAAGACTAACAAGATGGTTTTAAACCATCTTGTTAGTCTTTAAAGTGCTACATAGTCCTGTATTTTGCTTCTGTACTATAAAGATCTCCTTGGGAATATATAGCAATAGAGAATGCAGTCTCATGTTGTGCTGTTCTCATGTCCTAGGTCAGTGACACGCTCCTATTACCGCAACTCCGCTGGGGCAGTGCTGATGTTTGACCTGAGCAACCGAGCATCCTTTGAGAGCATCAGGGAGTGGCATCAGGAGGTGACAGATACAGTGAAACCTTTCCATATGGTCTTTGTGCTGGTTGGGCATAAGAGCGACCTGGCAGCACAGCGCCAAGTTGAGCGAAAGGAGGCTGAGAAGCTGGCTTCCTCTCTGGGGGCAAAATACATAGAAACATCTGCTAAGAGCAACAGCAATGTGGAAGATGCCTTCCGGCTGCTGACCTTGGAAATCTATGAAGCTATGAAGGCTGGGGTGCTGAGTCCAAGCAAGGATTGGGATGGAGTGAAAAGCAAACTGCCGCCCACAGAGCAGCCCAAAGTACAGAACCCGGAAAAACAAGAGAAGCAGAAGAAGTGCTCATGCTAGCCAGATATTGCAAACTAAGCAGCCAGAATGAGCTATCACCATCTACCTTGCCACAGGAGACTTGGCTGCCAGGCAGTACTCTATGGAATGACTGTCTCAAGAGCCAGTTCTAACAAGTTCGTTGTGCTCATTAATCTCTCTCAGGGAAAGCAACAAGCAGAACTGGAACGGATATTTCTATCCGCTCAAGTTCAAAAGCTACAGCGTTACACTGCTCTCTCGGTGCTTGAAGGCAATCCCAAATAGAAATCCAGTGGTCTACACACTGGGAAAGACAAATTGATACTTAGGTGCAAAGTTAAATATATTTTATTAATATTTCTGGTTGTCTTTATTATTCTAACAATTTAATGCAAAATATGCCAATGAAAATGGCAAATGTCCCCTGAGTGGCAATAAAGTGCAACCCTAGACTCAGGAGAAACCTGCAGATTCAGAGGGTATAAATCTCCATTCCTTTCGCCATCCTGGTTGTGAAGCACTTCCCAGCATTGATGCTCAGCGTGGAGTCTACAGAGCCAGCAACAGCACCTGAAGTACCCCCAGCTTCTCCCATTCTCAATGCAGCATCTCATTTTAAAACCTTCAAGTTAACATTATGTGGCTTTCTGCTGCAGGCCTGTCCTACCCAAATCATCCAGCCACCACTTCCCTCCCGTCACTGGACTTAAGTGACTGGACTTTGCAGAAAAGGACAAGGTTGCAAGTTTTGAATATGAAAACAATCACTATCTGGGTAAAGCAACTCGACCCTCAGTCCTCAGATTTAGTAATCTGGTTCCACGGCCACAGGACCAGCTATTCCCCCTGGGCTGGATTCTTGTGACTAGGTAGGATGCTGAAAAGCCCATTACTGATTAAAATAAAGACCATGCTGGTAGCTTTTTAAAAAAAACTAGGATCTGTTGGCTTTGTAGGTGACTAGAAGAAATGAATTGAGCAGGTCTCCATCTAGTTCCAGACTAGACTGTGGTATGGGTACTACCAGTGGTATCCAAACTTGATATACCATCTATTCACTTAATTTTTTTTAAAGAGAGTGGTCCATGCACCAGTAAAGTTTGGGAGCCACTGATCTAAACCACATCATAAACAATCACTACAACTGGCCCCTAAAAGAGCAGTTATTAGCTAGGCACAGAGAACGGACAACCTTCAAACTTACAGGTGTGAATCCCCATTTTGGAAGGACCATGTCAGGTCTCAGCATGGCAATTTGGAACATCTAGACACTACCTACGTGGTCAGTAAGAGTTCAGTCACTAGCACAGTCAAACCTGCCCTTTCCCGCCCAGGTTAACCAATCTCTGTAGGACTCCTTTAAAACCCTCTCTCTCACTGCAATAAACGTGTCTTGTTCAAGTTTACATTTGAATATTGTTTTTGGCCAATGGACACACCAGATGAGAGTCTGGACTGTATCTGTGGTGCAGCCTTTAGTTTGGAATGCTGATGACCTATTTTAGGGCTATGCATTTATTACAAAGCCTTTGGAGGCAGCTTTCGATTTCAGTCCTGATGACTCAAAACACAGTGGCTGCGTCTAGACTGGCTAGTATCATTTTCAAACTGTTCAGAAAATAAATTGAAGCGGAAGCCCCAAATTTGCCCCTAGTAACTACAGCTAATCAGGTGGGAAAGATTCTTCACATTGCAAACATGAAAAGGGTGGGGAGCATTCCTAAGTCTGTACCTACTGGCTACGTCTATACTAGCAGGATTTTCCGCAAATGCTTTTAATGGAAAAGTTTTTCCGTTAAAAACATTTGCGGAAAAGAACGTCTAGATTGGCACGGACGCTTTTCTGCAAAAAGTGTTTTTGCGGAAAAGCGTCCGTGCCAATCTAGACGTTCTTTTCCGCAAATGTTTTTAACGGAAAAACTTTTCCATTAAAAGCATTTGCGGAAAATCCTGCTAGTATAGACGTAGCCAGTAGGTACAGACTTAGGAATGCTCCCCACCCTTTTCATGTTTGCAATGTGAAGAATCTTTCCCACCTGATTAGCTGTAGTTACTAGGGGCAAATTTGGGGCTTCCGCTTCAATTTATTTTCTGAACAGTTTGAAAATGAGTTATGTGCTTGTGAAGCATGTTAGCTGACAGTCCTGGAGACCAGATTTTCATTTGGCACATGCTTCCATCCCACCATCCCTGAACTGCAGGGAGACAGAGAGGGAAGTCTGGTCTCCATGACCCACCAAGTCCTTGACATCTCATCTGCAGTTGTCAGCTTGGGCTCCAGTTGGTCTTAATGTGAAACTTTGTGCACTAGGAACCGGACAGATACCATTAGCTTATTTCACATAGGCCAAACAGCTAAGAGACAGTAGGACTTGTTATCACTACCCACCTAGGCCAGATTTCAACTGGCTACTCTGTACTATCCCATTACCAGCATAAGAGCAATCTTAATTTTCCCCTTTGTTTTGAGCCAAAACCTGGTATGTCCTTTAAACATCTCTACAACAAGCAGCAGCTCTCTCCTGATGCCTGTACTTTTAAATGAGATGCTGCACACACATTCAGAGCAGAAGCACAAGACTGTGCCCTGATTTTAGATTAATAATTTCTTTATTAATGTAAAACAAAATGCAAGTATTTATATAAACATTGACATTACAAAGAACTGGAACTGGCAGGTGGGAAGGAGGAAAACGAAAAACCTCTACAGATGCTTCTAATACTGTCCCAAACAAGACCAAAATGCTCTGTTCCTTGGACAATCACTTATACAATAAACCACTTTAAAGGTCACAAAATCTTTGTTTCAAGATACAATGCACTCTGTTGGGGGGCTGGGGAAGGTGAGCATATAATGGTTTTTGGCCGATCTCCTCAAAGTCATAGATATTGCTGCACTGTTAATAAAAAATATATGCTTCTCTGTAAAGCATTAAAAAAAATATCCCATCGATGGTATCATGGAAGCTTCAGCTTAGAGGCAGATATCCCAAAATGCACCATTCTCTCCTTGCTATTCCTAGGGGTTATTTCTTGGTTGTTTTGCGGATCAGTGCCATCCTCTGAAACAAAAATGAAAATACAGAGAACTGAATCTGTGAAATAATTATTTGCAAATCAAGCCTGGAATGTGGCCATATGAGGCCGAGACTAAAGAAATAGGGCCCACAAAAGGTTGCTTGTGCAGTACCATATGCTGAACAGCGGTGATATATCAAGAACTACAGACACACACATTGGCCTTTAAGCAGTTTGGGAACCATATTTCAACAGTTAGGCTGGGTTCTAGCTAAATCCATTTGTAACTTGGTTTATCTAACTTGTGGGAAGGGCCACACCATAAGCCATGCTGAGATGTGTTTTAGTCTAGAGCCTACTAAGGTTTTCACATGTCTGTAGTCAGTGTTCTACCATGACTTAGCTAGATCTGTGTTTAAACATGATTTCTATTTTAACATTAGCATGAATAGATCCATAGCCAGAAAGAAAGAAAATGTCACAGTTTGTGCTTCTCTCCTTGGGAGGAATTCTGTCTTGAGTAGCCATTTTGGTTTGGTGATTCTACCTTAATACGAATTTCACTCAGTCAACTAGCACAGTTTAATATTTTACTTGCACTGTGCACTGAATCAAAATCTATGTTAAGGCCCTGTGTCTGCACCCACACACCATTTTATCCTCAGGAATGGAGCTGTCATATTACCATGCTGGAGTGTTTCATGGGAGGAGATTTTTATTCCCAACTTTGAACTTTGACTTAAAAACCTCAGCAACTGCCAAACTAGGAGCAAGACAGAAACCACTACAGTACAGTAACCAGCAGCTGAAATTCCAGGACAAGCACAAGTGCTCTTCAAGAGGAACCCTAATGAGAAATTTAAGGTAGATGAGGGAACAATGTTCAGCTGTCCCATATACAATGCCAAGTCACTTGCGGTCATGTTGTGCAGTAATTGTATTTCCAGTGGGAGGGACCCTGCAGCTGCCTGCAGTAGCTCAGTAAGACTTGTGTCACTGATGTACACATGCAGGGCTGCTGCCAATAGCCGACAGAGCCAGCCATCACACATTTTAATGCAGCGTTTAACAAAAAGCAAGACTTACAGCCCTAATCGCAATATCAAACAGCATCCCTGTACTCCTGCGGTTCTGCAGACAGGGATTCCCTTCACTTAACATGGATTTTTAAACTATTCTGGAGTGAGAGCTTTCTAGCTATCGACATTTGCTGGCTCCATGCATAACTGACTGTAAAAACACAACCATGACCAGTGTTGTGTTTTGGCTCCTGAATCGGGTGACCACTTAATTGCCTGTGGGCAAAGGGTTGTTTTGGGCTCCCCCTTGGAGCATCAGAGGTGAGGTAAGAATTGCTCTGCACAAGTTCCGCTGTGCATGGAGCCAGCATTACAAACTAGCAGTCTCTCATACTGTGATTCCCAATAACGGCATTTGAAGCGAGACTCTGCTGGAAGTCAGGAACGTTCCTGGCTTAGATTGCTGCAGCACTGGGAACATACAAGTGCCACAGTCTCATCAGGGTTCCATTCTTCCTTGGAAAAGAATGCAAGAGTGGAGATGAACAAGAGCAGCACCAGTGTGTGTGCTGGGAGTCGGACAAGCACTCTGCTAGTATTGACTCCTCTGCATTTGGCTATTACTGAATTCACAAAGGGCTCCTCACCTGTTTGTGAGCTTCTGTAGTGCAGGCTTTTTTGTATGGCCGGATTTCTTCAGAACCAAACCCTGGGATCCACATGTTCCACTGGCGCTCTGGAACAGAAAGCACGAATCACTGCAGAATGCTCTACCCAGGGAAGCCCTTGACGTGCCAGGACAATAAGAACTGTTCACAGGATCCCTCCCGGGTCAAAGCAGTGGATATATAGAGAGAAGTAGGGGTGCTCGGAAATCTGGACTCCTGTGACTAGGGCTCTTAAAGGTTATTTATTATTTGTACTGTGCTAACACCAAATATACACCTATTATAAACTGCCCCACACTAGAGACCTCACGATCCAAGTTACAGAATGGGTACAAAATGACATGCCAATGCTCAGGAATAGGAGAATTTGGAGGAAGAAAAATCTAACAACATTTAACTGGATGCCCAGCAGATCTATTAAGAAATGGTGCTTAGACAGCCAGGGTAGGCTCAAGTTCATTCACAGGCTCTATGTCTCTGCTTCCACACATTTTGGTTAGACTATTTCCCTCAATGTCCTGGCTTGTGTAACATGTACTCAATCCACTACCCCAGGGTCTAATGGGGATTATCCGTTTTCAGGTACTTCTACCCCTCAGTCTGTCTCCTCACTGAGGAGATACAGATCTCATGCTGACAACCTATGAATCTTTTACCGAGATGCAGCTGGACATCCTTCACTTCCAGAGTGTTTGACTTGCGATGCCGGGCTAGCTGGCATGCTGCTGTCACCACGCTCTCAATGAAATCATCGGCAATCTGCAACAGCATCTGGGGGAGGGGATGAAGATATGAGCATCTCAAACCCATGAATATCCTTTTTCCATGACTGTTACAAACAACGCAGCGACCACTATGATATTCAGCCCACAGAAGCCACTGCTTGCTGAACTGAGTGTGACCATACTGCACAGAAAATCCCCACAGGCGTCTGTGAGAGTCACCAGCAAGAGATCACAGAGCATCAGTACCATGTCTGATGCGGATCCGAGCTTATGCAACAGCACAATAATATGAACCAACCCTCCTGTATCGAGTGAAGGGCTACAGGTGCATATGACAGCTCTGGATTAGGTCTCCATGTCTGTCATTTTACTAGCACAGGTTGTCAATCATGGCCTACCTCCTCCACATCCTCATCCAACTGCTCATTGGGATCCACCTCTCTCACCAGATCCTGCAACTTCTTCTTGGTTAAAACCTGAGGGAAAAAGGGAAGGCTTTTCCACACTGCATTGGCAATCTGGCAATACACAGCCAGCAGCAACCTTCCCCCCACAACTGTAATCAAAGGTCCAGGCTATACACTGTATTAACAAAGCATAATCCCAATAACTGCACAGATAAGCAGTGGGCAATATGTAGAAACTCAAACCTATTTGGCAGCTGCAAACAAAGCAATGACCAATGGGAGAAAATAATAAAACAGGCTGTCTTTTCATGAGTCAACATTTGCTACTAACTCTTTCATACCAAAATAATGTTTAATAAAGCAACAGTGTGCTGGCAAGAGAAACCAACTGCATAATGAGAACTTTTAAAGGTGTATTGCATGTGCAAAAAGTTCAGTAACTGCAGGGTTATATTATGGGCAAAACAGTATTTTACATTTCTATGGCTGTCATTCAGAAGTGCTTCAAATAAGATACACAGAATATCACTGAATTGCAAACACTTCTGGGCAAAGGACAGCAGTCAATTAGCATAGAACATGTTAGGGATGGAGTGGAGATTTTATTAGTTACTGAGCACCAGCAGCAGGTTGACAGTTGAAGGATATATAGGCAAGGTATTACCCATTCCCAAAATCTTACAAGAGAAACTTGACGCATCTGACGAAGTGGGTCTTTGCCCATGAAAGCTTATGCTCCAATAAATCTGTTAGTCTATAAGGTGCCACAGGACTTCTCGTTGTTTCGACACATTAAGTTCAGTGACATTGAGGCAAACCCTTTCTCTTTTTAGAAGTGCCAAGAAGCTGAATGTGCACAAAGCCTCAGTGTAAAAAGTATCAGAAAATCTACACACAACTATGGAGCATTCAGTTGGTTTCCCAGGGTACAATGACAGGCTAACTCAAAGCAACTGGGATCTGAACCCGTGATTCCAGGAAAGCTATAGAGTTCAGACATGATTGTGCTGGTAAGCCCTCTTTTCCCAATCCCACCTCCCTTCCAGGGGAGCATGGCCTTCTCTCCATCTCCACTTCTCTTTCTGGTTCTTCAGAAGCTGAGCAAAAGACACCCCAGCATTGCTACAAGAGTGGAACTGCATGGGGTGGGGGTATTTCTGCAGGAGAAGGCAAGGTGCTGGAGAAGACTGAAATAAGAGATCTTCCTTTATTCAGAACACGGATGCCTACTGGCATCAAAATATTACATTCATTTTACATGTGTTAAAAACTGAAAACAAATGTTGCAATATATGCATAAAATAGCAGCTTTTTGTGGTGCAGCTTCCTCATTGTCCTAGGGGGTATAAGTTACCTACATACACAGTAGGGAGGTTACAAGTCATTTAATATGGTAACCACGTATCTGCTAAAAATCTTAGTGGTTACACGCGCTGTGGACGCGAAGCCTCCCCAGGAGCCAGGCTGCCAGCTCCTGCCTGCTCAGTAGCAGAACCTGCAGCGCTTGTCCTCCAAGCTACTGGGGAGGAGGCTTCGCTACCAGCCAAGTTTAACTGATACCATTAACCAATAAGCACCAGCTTATCGATTAAATGGTTAATTGGTTAAGGATGGAACCAGCAATCAGACTAGTCGAAAGGTCAGTTTAAACCTGTTCACACCTATTTCAGGGAAGGGAATCCAGCACATTACCCTACACTTGTTGTGATGACCTATAGCATCAGAAGGCAGATTTTCATTGTAATTAATATTTTGTTTTTCATACAAGCCACAGATTGAATAGGATTTTCTGATCTCTCCCTAATATATATCACTAGGAGACTGGAAGCAATCTGCAGCTGATCTGTAGCATCTGTGACTAATTCATATTGTAAGCTCAAAAGGGGCAGGAACTGGATAACCGTGTAGTGTTGAGTGAACTTTGGGTACTCTGCTGATCAGATTAATTAATGTAAAATGTTTCTAGGCCATTTAAAGGAGAGACATCAAACGATGAGAGGGTCAGAACAACTCCTTGCTAGTCCAAGATTGCAAGTGATATTACCTGGTTGCTTTCAGGACTGAGGCGTCCCCCTCCACTAGGAGTCCCTGGCATTTTTACCACGGTGGTGCTGTTTGCCATGGAGCTTTGTGGTGGCGTGCTGGCTGGTTCTGGCTTTATTGAGGAGAAACTGGATAGGTTGATCAAGGTAGATGGGCCAAACTGGTTCATAATCTGCTGGGCTTTTGTCTTCAAATCATACAGTTTATCAAGGTCCTGCTTCTTTTTGGGGTTGTGAGGACCAAGACCAATCAGCTGAAGAAGGAAAGGAATGTCAAAGTTAAAAGTGGGGTAAAGATGTATATTTAGCAATTGGATCCCACTCCCTAAAAGGCAGCATCAAGAGAGGTTTGCAACTTAATCTGATATTTCTCACCATAGAGGGGAGGAAGGACAAGGGTGAAAAAAAGAAAAGATTTAAAAAACATATTAAAAACAAAACTTTAATGGAAGGCATTACGGTTGCACAGAGTTCACTGAATAGAGAACTGATGAGGAATATAAAGTCTGAGCCAGCCGGATAACATCCTAAGAACATTGCATTCCTTTTTCCAGTCCGACACCAAAATTCCATCAGTGACTGAATCCTACAGACAAGAAAAAGGTTTTTTCCCTCTTCTCTTACTTGTGCCTCTTTGGTGGCAGCGTTAGGCCTCCACACTTACTTCTAACTGGCAGATCAATGACATCACCTCCTGAGGTCTAGCTTAGGAACGGTCTTTTTGTTCTGTGTTTGTACAGTGCCTAGCACAAAGGGACCTGGTCTAGAACTGGAGTATGTAGGTCCTAATAATACAAAGACTGCATTTTTACATTTCAGACATCTTGGGAAGAGGGAAAAGCGGAGTACAATTCCTCATGTAGCTGCACTGTCTACAGCCAGGTACAGAACAGGAAGGCACTGTTCTAGCATTTGCCACACAACACCAACAAGGCATTTCAAGTCTCACCAGTAATTATTCCCAAACCAAGATATTTCCAGTAGTATGACAGTTTGTAATGAGAATATATTGAAGATTGGCCTAAGCCCTGAAATTCAATTTCACCTATAGACCTTGTCAGCATTAAGTCAGGCCTCCAAAAGTGACAGGACAGTAGAAAATCCACCTCTGCCTCAAATTCCTTTGATTTATATATCTGATTCCTCATTTCAATTCAGGTTTTCAGCTGCACAATATGGAATTTGGTAGACTGTCAAGCAAAGGCCTGGATTTACTAATTTCATATACCTAACAGCCTGCTCTTTCCAGATTAGCAATAAGGTTCTTGGACTAACTCATGTCATAGGCCACTAGACACTTTGATTACTTTTGGACTGAATTAGAACTGGCAACCTAGATTAGTAATTAGGCTCAGACTACTAGCATACTACTTACCCTTAACCCACCACTTTGGACTTTCTTGTAGTCAAATCTGTGGCCCACAACTCCATAATACATGTTGAACCTCTCTAGTCCAGCACCCTCTGGACCTGACCAGTGCCAAACCAGAGAATTTGCCAAACCATGGGAGATCAATATTGTCTAGCAGCATTACCAACACTTCCACTGGTTACTGGGCTCTTAGAAGATATTTGGGGGTAAATTAGAGCTAAACAACAGCATAGAACACTGACAGCCAGGACTGGTGGCTGTAAAAAAAAAAAAAGTATGAATTGTGGGAAACTTGTCCACACCCATAAGTGGACATTCGGCTAACTAAAATCATGTTAGACCATGGATGTTGTTGTACCAGAGTGCCAGCCTACAGAGGTTCAACCTTTAGCACTGCTCTCTTCAAACCTGTGTTCTTCAATTATCACCCAAAATGGTCAAGGAAAACTGCAGTGATTAGAACTAATATACAAATATTTATTAAATTGCTTGAATTAAGAGGTTTCACATGCTTTTACAAGTCTTTCATCATTCTATCTCAGTTCAATGAATGGAGTTGTCAATGGTAGCTGAAATTTTGCTACTACTTCAAACCAAAAAGTAGGTTGTTACATAGAAAATGCATCTCACTATTTTAAATCACATACATTAAGCTGTGAAATGATTTAAGTGGAAACTTTAATAACAGTCTGTATTAACTCTGAAAAATCTTATTGCCTACATAATTGAGACAACTGCATTTTCTGTTTTGGAACATAAAATGGATGTTATGACAATTTTTGTATTTCTGACTTTTGTTTTAAGCAATTTATTTTCCATAATTAGATTTTGGGGTCTCAAATACTCTTTACTGCAGTTTTCCTTAAACTTTTCTACAAAACAGCACTCTTTGGAAATTTCTTTGTTCACAGTGACACAAATGATGCAAGCTGAAAACTAGCTACAGGTACCAGGAAAAAAAAAACACACAGAACATTTACATAAAAACCAAGGGAAATAATATTTTCTACTTTTTTGTAGAAAACGTGATTTTCCCCTATAACAGCATTTGATTTTTTGTTAGTTTGTAATAATTCACACAGAAAAGTCACTCTTGAAAAATAATCACACAAGAATGCTTAAGACAGTGGATATTTAGTGTTTCATTCCAATGCTCAAAGTCATGCACTGCTGCAAACATATTACATACATTTTTCTTTTTAAAAAGAAATATAAATGCAAGTAACTTCACGTAGCTCTGATAGCAATTTTAGCCCAATGTGAACAGATCTGAAAATGATGAAAAGTCTCTACATTCATGCCTTGGGATGTTCTTCAGTCATACAGAGCCCTGTAAGCTCTTAGTTGGCAACTCTGGAGCGAGGTCCTGTTTTCTGGAGCATAGCTCAAGAAGCAGAAGAGAGGACTCCAGTGTACTATTCTTACTTTTGCCACTAGCTTGCTGATGATCTTGGGCCAGTCACTTAACCCTGTGCACTTCAGTTTACAAAACCACAAAGTAGGAAATCTTACCTACCATGGAGGCATCAGAAGATGATGCGTGAAATGCTTTGAAATCCTTGGGCAAAAAGCACTATATTAATGCAGAGTAATGTTTACTCTCACTTCTAATTTTAACCTTTGGGTATAATCAAGGCATCAGAAAACAAAGCAAATGTGGATGCACAGGTTTTAACCTCAAGTTCTACATGCCAATTCATGGCAAGCTCAAGCAATTTACTTACAGCTATCTGAGTATCTAGTTCTTTAATTACATCAGCAACTGCTGTGGGCCCAGCGAATGGAGAGGCCATTTTCCAAAAGCTCCCTGTAAGCAAATAGCCAGTGTTAACCTTGACTTCCCTCCTCCTGTTCTACATACTTCTCATTCTCATGACACCAGCTATTTTGCATGTCACCTACCTTATCAAATGCAAATCAAAATGAAACAAATTTCAGCAAACAGTACTCACCACAACACAAGCATCTTTTGTCCTTATTAAAATGATCAAATGCAATTTTCTGGGCATTGAATACAAAGCTTTACTTTAAACAGCAATCGTGAACCTAATATTTCTTGTCTTCTCAAATGGCAAGTTATTCTCAGGATCCTCAAGGGAGAAGCTTATACTTATGTCAAATCTTCATTTTTAGATACAGGGCTAGTGGGTATTGGAGTAGAGAGCAGCTGAGTACAGATTTTTGAAACAGTAGCCTTCCTTCACATCAGGACTAGGCCCCATGGCATGTACTAATGCCACTGGTCCCTGACTAATAGGTACTGCAACTGACTAAATAGCATTATCACACCAATATGCTAAATGCAACATTACTTATCTACAGCAACAAGACAACTTGAGGAATCGTTCATCAGAGTGCTTGCAGCTTCTAATTCCAGGAAGAAAAGATATTTAGCAAAGAAATCTCTACACAGAATTTAAAAGTAATCTGCAAAGGATCTTTTAAAGTATTTGTTTTGGCTTCTTTAATCACGTAAAAAGACAGACTGAAAGTTTTCTTTACAGCTTTTTAATTTAGAAAAATCTCAGAAGTTTGAACATCCCTTGTTTTGTCAGAGGACCTCTTTGGAAGTGGTGGATCTCCCAGGAGAGGTACCTTGCAGGTTCGTGTACATGAAGTGTGGTGGCAGGATTGGCTGACTCTAGGGATGTTAAAATGCGTGTAAGTAACTGTAGCGGCTGAAAACATTTCCGGTTACACGCGGGG